GGGCAAGAAGGTGGCGGATTGAGGTTTTTGACGATTTTGGAATCTTATCATCATGTTGCAGAGCAACGGGGCGCTCCCTTCTAAGAGGTTTGATGCTTCACTGCCATGTTTTTCTGTTTTTGTTCTTTTTCGGCGGCAGTTCCCCGCCATCTCTTTTTCTTTGTTTGGATTTTGGAGCCTCGCAATTTTGAAGGGACGACCCCCTTTCATTGGCACCTGTTGGGTTGAACAAGTCAGTCAGGTTTGGGGCGCTGACTAGGGTGCAGTAAACCCGAGGGCTCTTGTGGCTTGGGTTGCAGATGCGGGTTGATCTTACACAAGATTCTTCAGTCACTGGCCCGTGCGTGTTCTTGTTCTTCGTCCTTTTTTCCCCCTGTTTTCGGGATTCGAAGTTTTCGGCTTTCCGATGGGTTCCTGGGTTGAATAGCCTGGGACTCGCACAGGGCCTTCCACAATTTTGGACCACTACGGTTGAAGCCCTGACCTTTTGGGGGCAGACTTTGGGAGGTCGGGATGTCGGATGATATGAGACCAATCCATTTCCGCTTAGAAGGTTTGGGAGAATTCAAAGCATAACTTGGTGCGGCCGCGTTGTTGAACTTGACATTGGTTGGGGTAGACCACTTGTGTCAGTACCATAAGAGGCTTTGATCGTAACTCAAACGAGTTTCTGGTCTCGTCGTAGGTGCAACCCGGTGCCATTGTGGACTGTGCGACCGCTTGCCGTTCACTCAGCGTATGTGCGAGTGCCAGCTTTTGCTTTTTCATGCTGCCCTTTTCACCTTGGGTCCCTGTATGTTGACAAGTAATTGCCTATAGTTACATACAAGCGCTGGTTTTGCAGAGTTGTTCACCAAAGGCTGGGTGAATGAAATCGCCGTACGCTTTTGGGGTTTCATTTCTTATTTACCGTTGACAAAGTATGAACAAGACTTGGGACAAAAGCTTGACGCGAAGACTTTTGTCCATTTGGTCTCAGCCATGTTGGTTCATTCGTCAAATTGTCCGAAGCTTAACATAGTATTCCCAGGTCCTTTGATTGCAAGGGTGTAGAAGATGAGATTCAAATAGCCAAGATGTATATTCTGATTTTGAGTGATTCTCCTAAGAATTTCTTGGGGAGCAGCCCTGGCTTCGCGTCGATTCCATGGACTTTGCCAGAGTTCCTGACAACAAGCCCGGATTCTAAACCATGGCCTGGATCCCCCTAGCTTTGGGGTCTCTACATCCGTGCCTTGTGCTTGCCGAGTTTAACAAGTTCTTTCGGTGGCTTACATATCTTTCTATTTACATACTAAAATACTAGCATGTTACACATTGTATAGTACGATCTATCATACAGGGAAGCGTGTCTTGGACCAGAGCGACAGTTTTTAGGGATCATTGAGTGCAATACTCACTCCCCAGCGGCTAGAGACGTGTTTCGGGTGGTGTGTTCAGATGCCAAGCTATTTCTGACCAGCCTGAAGTCTCCATACACCTTCCGATGCCACGAAGCCCTCAGTGGAGGTTTTCCCTGGGGCGCTCCAGGGGAACCCGTGAAGTTCACGTCCTTAGGGGAACTGCGCCAAACACATTTACTGTCCAGAAATCCAATACTGGGTGAACACAGACGACGCATGTGGCTAAGCAAATGGAATGACGAAACCAAAATGAACGAATTGTGCCATTTTCGATAGGTAGGCACTTGACAAGCCACCGTCACCGCGCTGGGTCGTTTGGTCCAAGCCCCACTCGAGGTCATGAGAGACATAGAAGCGCCGACTTGTTTTGAGAGCAGCGTCTCGTTGAACTTGGCCGGCTGTTTGGTGTTCTTTGTTCCTTGCTTTCGCTCTCTTTGTTGATCTACTTGAGTTTCGTTGTTTGTGTCGAGCGGTGGTGAGAATTTGACTTTAGGCTGCCGCTGGTGTGATGCCAAGGGCTTCCCACAAACCATGCGAACATCGAATAGTAATGAATCAATGAAGATGGCCCATGTTGCAGACCGTGTCACTTGATCTGGAGACAATGATACCAGTGTAGGCAACCAGAAGCCATCATACAAAGCCAAGAACCAAGAAACCCGCACAAGATTGGTGACTAGATTGGTGACTGGAGCACTGGGCTAGTCACACAGCCATGGAACCGATTGCTTGCCACCGGCACTTGTCAAGGGAGGGTGGAAGCTGAACGGTTTTGGGGTGAGGACCTCCCAAATTGGAAGTCCCATTTCCATGGTCCCCCGCTGCGCTTGGCTTGTGACCTTGTCCTTTTCAGGCTTATCGTTCCCTTGATACAGGTCTGTCCACATGGGAGCACATGGGAGCCTCCCAGACCGTAAAGGTTTTCCCTTCGGTGTCGTTTTAGAGCAGTTTTAAACAGGATACCGTCAACAAACGCACTTCCTGAGTCATGGACTTTAGTCACCGTTTGGGTTTGAGCAATTTTAGTGGTGGAGTGAGAACAGCACCCCCAGATTCGGTGCCAAATGGCTTCCAAGCGGTCGCTGAAGGCATGTTTCGGATGTGGGCGGCCTTTGTGTCCATATACAATGGGTATGTGTCAAAAGAAGGGGAACCCCGAGATGGTGGTTGTCCTTGTGCCGAAGGGTTTGGATGCATATCTTTGATAATCCCGGGTATCCCCAGCCCAGGAACCCTGTGGAATCCTAAACGAGGGTAGCCTTGTGAGATTTTTCTACCGGAAAACCAAAGGGAAACCACACGTCTTTTTTTTGGGGGGGATCCCCTATTTGATGAACCCCACCTCCGATATTTGGCCTTCGACCCAAATCACTTGCATTGGCCCGACACCACTTGTCCTGACCTGTTGGTTTCATGCAACCTTGCGCAACCCCAAAAAACTTATCTATTGCTTATCCAGGGTCCTATTCTCGAGGGCCAAGTGATTACTGCCGGGCGGTCCTTTGTGAGAAGAACCGAAAGGCCTGGGCCTCCCTCGAGCTTGTGTTTTACCTTTTTGACTTGGCAGAATTGTCAAAAGGGTCACTTCATGGCACGTCCACTCTTTCGTTTGCGACCGTTTTCGCATCGAGGAGAAGCTCATGATTTGCAGCCATTGTTGGACTCGTTTGGTCACGTATTGGCAAGATTTAGAAGTCAGCGTGTGAATGGGTTCAAACAACCGAGCACCCCTGCTGAGCTTTTGAATTGGTAAATGTCGATTCCTCGAAGTCGAGTAATATTGCCAATCCACTCAGGAATTGAGTTTCTGACCTCCAGGTTTTACATGAGTTGGGGGCAATTACCAGTAGTCTGGTTGATTTCGGAGGAGCATAGCGGACTCACCGAATTTCTCCACAATCACGGGACTTAATGTTCCCATGTTTTTGGGGGAAACAACACAATTGGACCATGGCTCAGAGAAGCAGCAAGCCAGCACGCGGCCAGGTTCTGTCGGAGACAGGTCTTTTGAAGACGGACTCCCAGGCGCTGGGAACGGCGCTCGCGCGTTTTTCTTTGGTGGAAGTTCCTTGAGAAGGCTGCTTCCAGCGAGATATCGTCAGTTAGGTTGCAACTTACTTACGTCAGTGACCTAGGTTGCAACTTACTTATAACACCCCCTGTAATTGGGTTTTGACTTAGGTCAAGCTTTTGCCACCTCTGGCCAGCTGGGCCGAACATCCAAGTGTGGCTTCCAAAGGGGATGCGCAAAAGGGCAACCCTAAAGAGCCGTTCAGGGTCAGATAGGTTTTCCTTGTATGTGGTCTGTCCTCAGTGTTGTTTACTCAACGCTTCGCTATAGACGGCTATGAGTGTGAATCGTTGGACAGGCCTCCAATGTGCCTGGCCATTTGGGTGTATCTCAAAATGTGGGCTTCATATGCTGAGACATATTCATTTGATTATGTCGGTTCAAGGGTTCAAACAATCACCCAATTTAGCGCCGGTTTGACTCGAACTGGCTTCCTCCAGTCAACCAAACACCAGGCGCGGAATAGCCAATTTTTCACAATAATGGTTGCTGTCTACTGCAGTTTAGGGGCAAAAACTGGGTACACCAACCCCAAAATGCTAGGAAATTGGCCTAGGTACGGCGGGAAGCCACATTGTGTAAATCCCCCCCCTAGCAAGTGGTGCGTAAAGGGATGCAACAGGAAGCCCTTGGATACCTAGGGGATACCTAGGGGTATGGTCCACTTCCTGTTTATCGACTGTGGCTCACGTGCATCGTTGGGCTCAGAGTTAGTGCCACGAGCCAAAGCGCTTGCAGTCGTCCCGTCGTCCCGGTCGCTTTCTGACCGTGAGTGGCTCGCGTGGCGCAAGCATCGCAACTTTGGGTCATTGGAATATGAGTTCCCATTGCGGTGGACATACTCTGGATCGCACTGCTGTAAAACACCCTAAGAAGCCATTGTTTGTTGGTGTTTACAGGGGATGGAATCATTCCACGGTTTGCCCTCGGTGATGTGAAATGGATTTTTGCCACCATCCGCAGCAAATCGGCCGAAACATCACCATTTTGGGATGCAAACATGAGTTCCTTGGACATATGAGAGGGACGGAGTACCATTTTGGGGCTTGGTTTACAAGAGGAAAGCGATCCTTCAGCACGTGGCTTGGGTCCTTCAAGCAGCACCATCTCGCAGTCTGGCTTTGAACTAAGCCTTGCCCGTTTGCGAATCGCGGCTTGCGCGATTCGCGGGCTCCTAAAACAGAAAGCACACCCGACTTGGCGACTTGTTTGGCTTTATTCCATTTATTTCTCCCCTTACCCAATTTGGGGGTGTCTTTGGAAAACTGGTGGGGTCTCTGAGATGTGATTCCGAAAGCTTCTGTAGGAATTGATTGCTTCTCTTTTGCTTTGACCTAACCTCCTTAGCTTAGCCGGGACGCTTCTTCCCAACGACACCCGGATCCAAACCCTGAGTTACGACTTATTCCTTCTGTTTTGCAACTTTGCATGTTACCCATATTCAAGACTCGGTGGATCTCAGTTATCATTAGGGGTGGTTCCTTTCGTTCCCGAACTAGTTGTCTCCTAGCTGAACCACAGCTTTCTGGAACTTACACAGAGCCTAGACCAGATCGGTCGTTCTGCCATGGTTTGAGCTGTGGCCGGATGGGGACTGGCAGGACTGACTCGGAGAGCGACAGTTTGACTTGTTTGCTTTGCCAGGTATTTGTGAATGAAGGCTTTTTCGGGGATTCCTGGAAGCCCTCAAAGGGGGACTCCTTCCTCTACTCCAAGAGTCTGGCAGCTAAATGTGGTCCTCATACCACTCGCTGGGGTCTCAAAAAATTTAAGCCACCAATTCTCAGGTAGCCTTAGTTGGGGTTTGAAGCCCTGGTTTTTGTAGAAAAAAAAACACCAATGCCGTTTGGAGCAAACGCGGCAGGAGCTGGAACGGATGGCCTAGCCGGCGGAAAATTGCGGAAGCCTCACAGCCGCCTTCGTTTTTTTTGGTCCTTCATTCGGCTTGGGATGGCTTGTTTTTTTTTTGTGGGGGGAACTCCCTCTTTTTTGTTGTGTGTTTGCTTCATTCGGCTTGGGATGGCTTATGTGTTTTTTGGGGGGGAACTCCCTCGTTCTTTCCCCCCCCCCCCCCCTTTTTGTGTGTTTGCTTCATTCGGCTTGGGATGGCTTGTGATTTGTTGGGGGGGGAACTCCCTCCTTTATTTTTCCCCCCCCCCCCTTTTTGTGTGTTTGCTTCATTCGGCTTGGGATGGCTTGTGATTTTGTTTTGGGGGTACTCCCTCGTTCTTTTTCCCTCTTTTTTTTGTATTTTTTTTGGGGGGAACTCCCTCGTTTTCCCCCCCTTTTTTGTGTGTGTTTGCTTCATTCGGCTTGGGATGGCTTGTTTTTTTCTTTTTGTGGGGGGGAACTCCCTTTTGGTAGGCCTTGAGTGGAAAGCAGAAGGAAGGCCTTGTTTTTCTTCTTTTTGGGGGGGCCTCTAGTTACGCTCCTGCCCACGTTGAAAAGGAAAGAACATAGTCCAAATTAGGACCCCTCAGCCAGGTTCCATTTTTGTGGACAGGAGGGCAACTGATAGCTGTTTAAACGAGCAACTCAATACAAATCACGAAATAGAAGCTGTTCAGTATGTTGAACAAACTTGAGCTTTCGGCTCAGTCCGCCGACATTGCATCTCCCATTTATTTCATTTCTGATTTTTGTCACTGCATTTCCCTTCAGTTCCCCTCATTCCCTTTCATTTTCCCTTTCATTTCCCCTCCTTCAGTCTCCCTTCATCTCCCCTTCATTTCCCACTAGTATCCCATGCATGTCTCATTCAGTTCCTCTTTGTTTCCCTTGGATTTCTCTGCATGTTTCTTGCATTTCCCCTCCTTGATTTCCCTTCATTTCCCCCTCATTGCTCTTCGCTTCCCTTCACTTCCCTTCCATTTCCTCTCATTTTCCTTCCGCTTCCCTTCTCAATTTCCCTTATTTCCCTTCATTTCCCCTGCGTTTCCTTTCAATTAGATCTGCCCTTACTTTTCCTCCATTGCTCTCCATTTCCCTTCATTGATCTCTATTTCCCTTCATGTGTCCTACATGCCCTTCCTTCATTCATTTCTCCTTCATTTCCTCCTCATTTCCTCCTCATTTCCCTTCATTTCCTCCTCATTGCTCTTCATTGCCCTTTCATCCCCCCTTCATGTCCCTCTTCATTTCCCTCTCATTGCTCTCCGTTTCCCTTCATGTCCCTTTCATTTCCCTTCATTCCCTCCATACCCCCTTCATTTCGGCTCCCCGAAGACTGTTCTTAGTGGAACGTCATCATTCCGGCGCGGTACGTGGCCACCCTCCACTCCGACGTGTCTCGGAAAGGGATTAGGGGGGGTTACCCTCTATCCTCTCTTGGGTGTCCGACACGCCGAACCATGTCGGCGGATATTGCGCGCCTTTTTTGAAAACATTTGAAACTAAGCAATATCACTCCGCATGTCTGTCTGGTTTCTTCCAAATCGTACGATCGGAGGTAGAACGAGCGAAGCACGATGAAGGTCCTCTACTTGGATCCATCGTGCTCCATTTGGTTGTTGTTGACCTTATTCTACATTGCGTTGCCTACTGTCGATGGAAACCCTGTGACTGCTGAAGTCAACTACCTACCAAATGTGAGTTATTTGTCCATCCACAGTATGTTTTACGTTGTCTTGCCTTGTGGTGAGACACCATTAGTAATCACATAGCCCCCCCCCATTGTGGCCCAACCATTGCCTGGACAATCTCCAAATATTGGCTCACTGTACCCATTGATTGGGATTGCCCACTGATTGTTACTCACTATACTGTCAGTATCATAGGTGTCGTTAGGTTCGATTGGTTAGAAATAGATGGGCCCGGCTTAGATGGCTGGATTCCCTTCACCAATACCATCTATTTTCCCAAAAGGCACCTATGGCTGTGTCAGTAGTGTTCCTGGGTCCCTGCTTTTGCTTGGCTCGCCAGGCGCAGTCACCTCACTATGGTGGTAGGTTGCTGGGGTCTCAGCTCCACACCGGCGTCAGGGCAGAGGGCACCCCACTTCAGCATGGGTGGATCCAGATGATGAAAATCGTGCGCAGTTTCCAGTGGTGGTTATATTAGCCCATGGTGAACAGAAATAGCAGCACTGGGATGGTCATCTCAGAGCGGTGATTCCTGCATAAGTCCCGTGCAGGCGAGGATTTAGGCTGCGTGTGCATTGCCCAAGCTAGTTCTCACTCTAAAATTGGTTGGTTCCTAATTCCAATCGAGCACCATCCGGCTGATAGGGTCCAAACAGTTTAGGACCCCCCCCACAACGCACAACCATGGTTGAAGGAATGGTTTCTGGTTGCCGCCGCTTACTCATTATGCGATCTTTCTTCTTGCGATGCGATTCTGTGTTCCAGCTGCCGATGCGAGATCCCACAACAGGCTGCACAAACGCCCGCCGATGCGACGTCCCAACGAGCCTGATGAAAGTTTCGCCTGGTTGAAGCGAAGCTTGAGTTGCCAATGTGACTACAGTGGATGGACAAGCTCTTCTCCAGTTGGCAGGTGGGTTAACTGTCAATCTATGTATATATGAGCCACGGACAAAACACGCGTAGACCACTTTATCAAGACGGGGCACGCTTTTGAGTAACACATCCCAAAACCATGGAAAACGATGAGGTCTCCCCCAAAAACGATGACCCTTAACGAACACACGGCTCTGTAAATACGACACTTGTACTGAGAAGTTGCGATTTTCGAGCTGGAGATGCGGAAGTGTACTTCGCGTACAGCCTAGGCTTGTACTACAAAGCTGCGATTTTCGAGCTGGAGCTGCGGAAGTGTTCTTCGCGTACTAGACTTGTACTACAAAGTTGCGAATTTCGAGCTGGAGCTGCGGAAGTGTACTTCGCGTACTAGACTTGTACTACTACAAAGTTGCGATTTTCGAGCTGGAGATGCGGAAGTGTACTTCGCGTACTAGACTTGTACTACAAAGTTGCGATTTTCGAGCTGGAGATGCGGAAGTGTACTTCGCTTACTAGACTTGTACTACAAGTTGCGATTTTCGAGCTGGAGCTGCGGAAGTGTACTTCGCGTACTAGACTTGTACTACAAAGTTGCGATTTTCGAGCTGGAGCTGCGGAAGTGTACTTCGCGTACTAGACTTGTACTACAAAGTTGCGATTTTCGAGCTTGCGGAAGTGTAGTACTAGACTTGTACTACAAAGATGCGGAAGTGTACTTCGCGTACTAGACTTGTACTACAAAGTTGCGATTTTCGAGCTGGAGATGCGGAAGTGTACTTCGCGTACTAGACTTGTACTACAAAGTTGCGATTTTCGAGCTGGAGATGCGGAAGTGTACTTCGCGTACTAGACTTGTACTACAAAGTTGCGATTTTCGAGCTGGAGCTGCGGAAGTGTACTTCGCGTACTAGACTTGTACTACAAAGTTGCGATTTTCGAGCTGGAGCTGCGGAAGTGTACTTCGCGTACTAGACTTGTACTACAAAGTTACTTCGCGTACTAGACTTGTACTACAAAGTTGCGATTTTCGAGCTGGAGCTGCGGAAGTGTACTTCGCGTACTAGACTTGTGCTACAAAGTTGCGATTTTCGAGCTGGAGATGCGGAAGTGTACTTCGCGTACTAGACTGTACTACAAAGTTGCGATTTTCGAGCTGGAGCTGCGGAAGTGTACTTCGCGTACTAGACTTGTACTACAAAGTTGCGATTTTCGAGCTGGAGCTGCGGAAGTGTACTTCCGTGCTAGACTTGTACTACAAAGTTGCGATTTCGAGCTGGAGCTGCGGAAGTTATTTGCGTACTAGACTTGTACTACAAAGTTGCGATTTTCGAGCTGGAGCTGCGGAAGTGTACTTCGCGTACTAGACTTGTACTACAAAGTTGCGATTTTCGAGCTGGAGCTGCGGAAGTGTACTTCGCGTACTAGACTTGATCAGAGCAAAGTTGCGGAAGATTTTCGAGCTGGAGCTGCGCAAGTGTACTTCGCGTACTAGACTTGTCTACAAAGTTGCGATTTTCGAGCTGGAGATGCGGAAGTGTACTTCGCGTACTAGACTTGTACTACAAAGTTGCGATTTTCGAGCTGGAGCTGCGGAAGTGTACTTCGCGTACTAGACTTGTACTACAAAGTTGCGATTTTCGAGCTGGAGCTGCGGAAGTGTACTTCGCGTGCTAGACTTGTACTACAAAGTTGCGATTTTCGAGCTGGAGCTGCGGAAGTGTATTTCGCGTACTAGACTTGTACTACAAAGTTGCGATTTTCGAGCTGGAGCTGCGGAAGTGTACTTCGCGTACTAGACTTGTACTACAAAGTTGCGATTTTCGAGCTGGAGCTGCGGAAGTGTACTTCGCGTACTAGACTTGTACTACAAAGTTGCGATTTTCGAGCTGGAGCTGCGGAAGTGTACTTCGCGTACTAGACTTGTACTACAAAGTTGCGATTTTCGAGCTGGAGCTGCGGAAGTGTACTTTGCGTACTAGATTTGGACTACAAAGTTGCGATTTTCGAGCTGGAGCTGCGGAAGTGTACTTCGCGTACTAGACTTCTACTACAAAGTTTCGATTTTCGAGCTGGAGCTGCGGAAGTGTACTTCGCGTACTAGACTTGTACTACAAAGTTGCGATTTTCGAGCTGGAGCTGCGGAAGTGTACTTCGCGTACTAGACTTGTACTACAAAGTTGCGATTTTCGAGCTGGAGCTGCGGAAGTGTACTTCGCGTACTAGACTTGTACTACAAAGTTGCGATTTTCGAGCTGGAGATGCGGAAGTGTACTTCGTTACTAGACTTGTACTACAAAGTTTCGTCGAGCTGGAGCTGCGGAAGTGTACTTCGCTTGTACTACAAAGTTACTTCGAGTTGCTAACTAGTTGCGATGATCGAGCTGGAGATGCGGAAGTGTACTTCGCGTACTAGACTTGTACTACAAAGTTGCGATTTTCGAGCTGGAGCTGCGGAAGTGTACTTCGCGTACTAGACTTGTACTACAAAGTTGCGATTTTCGAGCTGGAGCTGCGGAAGTGTACTTCGCGTACTAGACTTGTACTACAAAGTTGCGATTTTCGAGCTGGAGATGCGGAAGTGTACTTCGCGTACTAGACTTGTACTACGAAGTTGCGATTTTCGAGCTGGAGCTGCGGAAGTGTACTTCGCGTACTAGACTTGCACGACAAAGTTGTGATTTTTGAGCTGGAGATGCGGAAGTGTACTTCGCGTACTAGACTTGTACTGCACAGTTGCGATTTTCGAGCTGGAGATGCGGAAGTGTACTTCGCGTATTAGACTTGTACTGCCTGCCAAGTTTCGCTTTTCGAGCTGGAGCTGCGGAATTGTATTTCGCAATTTTCGGGCTGGAGCTGCGGAAGTGTACTTCGCGTACTAGACTTGTACTACAAAGTTGCGAATTTCGAGCTGGAGCTGCGGAAGTGTACTTCGCGTACTAGACTTGTGCTAGAAAGTTGCGATTTTGGAGCCGGATCTGCCAAAGTTCGAAAACACTGTAAAACGATGAGGTCTCCCCCAAAAACGATGACGTTAAAAAAAGTACTAAGGCCAAGTAAAGGGTTTCGTCCGCTCCTCATATATATATATGTCTATATACATGCAACTCCCCCCCAAAACCCGTGACTACTGCTTACGTAAGGGGGGCAAGTTGTTTTAGACAGAGATTGCCCAAAGTGGGCTCATTTCACAACATTGGCAGACTTTCGCAGATGATTGATTAGGACTTTGCCACCCCTGTACATAGCTCTTCTACGTTCTGAACAAACTGTCTGTGGTATTCCTCCTCTTGATTTTTCCCAGTCATTTCATACATTTTCTGGTCAGACACTCAAGCTATTTCAACACAAGCTAATTGGACAATTAGCATCATAAGCAAAGTTTGGTACAGTGTAGAAGCAAAGTTAGGTATCGTGTCATATTACACAGGGTCTAGACCATAATTCGTCACACGTATATACATCTCTGAAGTTTTCAGAAATGTCGGGCAAGAAGAACACATTTGCTGTCAAATAGGAATCGCGATGTTCTGTGAATGTGTCCAGATTCATTATGTTTGGCATAGCCTTCATTGCTAATATTATCCTTGCTCAATTGACTGTCAAAGTTCTTTGTTAGAGTACCGGCGAAAGTGTATCAAACAAAAAGGCGCACCATACCTCTTCTGCTTCGCCTACACAACTGATGTGCAAATCCTCTTCGTTTGGCAACTCACGAACCTGTGGCAATACCCAAGGACCCAACTCATCTGCAAATCCCCTTCGTCTGTCAGCTCACAAACCTTGGCCAATGCCAAAACATTTGCTCACACTTTCCTGGGAATCTTGAATCTTGAATCTAAAGCCCAAAGTGCTTTAAAGGGCTTTAAAGCGGTTTTAGTGGATACAGTGGCAGTCAAATGTCAGCAGATGCGGGCATAGTTGTGCTCAAAATTGATGCGCCTGACAAGGGGGTGGAATTCACGCAGGAGCACTGCACATACCGTCAAATTCTCTTGGCACTTTCTTTTTGGGGGGGGGATGCCCTATACATATATGTACATATATTGATAGGGTTTCAAGGCTCATGCATCCCCACTTCACCAACAGAAAGCATCAAGTTGAATCATGCAAATCTCCAGTAGATGTGATTCTCTGCAACCGCTGAACCAGCGGCTGACAGGCGGCCTTTCTGCGTCTGCCCTTGAGCCTTTTCGCTTTTGGAACATTGGCGCCACTCGCGTGGTGCAAGTGGGAGCCCTTGCAAACCCGATCCAGGACTAGCCCAAGCTCAGGGAAACCAACTAGCAACAAAAACAGGGGGAACCACGAATACGGGAGGATTCCCCCTACATGCACCTTGACTAAGCTTGATATGGGAAATGGCGCCAAGGGGATCTCCACATATCCCCGCTCCCTCCGTATCCCCGCTTGTTGGTTTGTCCAACAAGCAGCTTTGTGACACGGCCCGTTGGGAGGCCTCACCGGCTTGGTGGCTGTGATCTGGTGGGGGCCCGGCCCCCAGTCCTTGTTTGCTTTGGGCGTTCTGGGCTGGCCTTTTGACTCACCTGGAGGGTCCGTCTCTTTTGGGGGTACCCTCCAAATTTGGCGGCTTTACGTTTCAGAGGAATGTTGACCACTTCAGGGTCCAAGTATAGGTCAAAAGGCAAATAGCTTCGGAGCTTCCGGGGGCGATATTGCAAGGCGCGCCCCGGCACCTGATCTGGTGCCGAAGCACAGCCGGGGACCCAAGACGCCGATTCGGTCGAATCCGATTCGGTCACTTTAGGTTCAGATAAAGAATGGTGTTGGGCGTGTGAATCATCATAGAAAGTCACGGGTTTGGACAATTGCTTTTTGGAGCTTCTTTTAGGAACCCCGGTAAAAGTGATAAAGTAGTGATGGGGATGCCCACTTTGTTATGGAACTTGGCTGTGCTTTCTAAACTAGCCATGCACTGTCAATGCGCCCTGCTCAAAAGCATGCAACGCTACAAATAGGTCCCCCAAACATAGTTCTTGTTGGCTTTCCTGGACATCCACAAAGGGGCGCCATATTTGGCTTTAACAAAGGTTTCTCTTGCAGACAGGCTCAAGCCCATACTTTTTGTTTTTTGTTTTCTCTCTCTCTTTCTTTCTCTCTCTCTCTCTCTCTCTCTTTCGCAGAATGGTCAACTAAAGAGAACCGTGGGGGGGAACCTGCCCCTGAGCTGTGACTGTAGTGGGGCTTGGGTGGTTGGCTCTGGTATGCTAATTGTATTGCATAGGTTGCAACCCAATTTCAACACGATTAGCGTGACTTGGGGCCTTTTACCCAAACCTCACGGGACCCTCGGCCTTCTGTTGAACCGAAGGTCGGAGCTTCAGCTGTTTGGTGTCCTTATGTTTCCCGTAAAAGGCAAGGACCAACGGACATGTCGTCCTCAGCACGGCACGATTTTGAGGCCTACCCATGGTTGTTGTTGGGAGACTTTTTGCATTTTTGCTTATTGTGGTTTAGTGGTTTAAAATTCCACTTAACTGCTAAAAACATGAATTGTTGCTCCCCTTCCAACGTCAAACAAGTACCGACTGGGTCCGGAAAATGAAGCGTCTCTGCGCGAATCGAAGGCAGCCCGCAGTTTGACACCGCCATCTCCTCCCTCGAGAAGGAGCCAAGGCGCGGGCTATGCCAGAGTCCATCCAGTTAATCTCTTCCCCCTATTAATAAATACGCCCCCCCCCCCCCTATTATAAATAAATCCTCCCAAAAATAGATTTTTTTTAATTGGGGTTTTCGGGGTTGGGTTTTTTTGCTTTTCCAACAATGTGAGGGTTCGCGTAGGATTTGGAGGAAATGGATTGAATTGTAAGGTCCGCGAGTAAGCGGTTTAATAAGGAAATTTCATGTGTCATGCTATTCAGTTTACTGGTTGTTTGTTGGCAGCCAGGCAGGTTAGCCAGCATGTATGGGGGAGAGACAGTCGCAGCTTAAAAGTGGGGCTGGAAGCTTGTTAAAAATGCCCCCTAATAAGGATTCCAAGACTTTAGTATTGGTTTAGTATTGGCGCAATTAAAAATCAATTGTGCGGAGTGGAAATCTGGTCTCGGGCCCCGGATTTGCATTTATTATTAATTGGGGTCATTCATTAATTGGGGGAGCGGATTACCACTATTGTGGGTGGGGGTATCTTTTTGTTGAGGGTATCATGTCATGCTGACGGCATACCGACTTGTCAGTGCTTTCCATGCACCATTCTGTGCTGCTCGATGTTTTGCAGAAGGCATTGGCTGCAACCAGTTCGGCTGCTACCACTTCAACACACAAAAAGCGCCACAGCAATCGGCTCAGCACTGCGCACATGCCTGGCCTCTTCTTGGCAGCGCAGTTCTGGTAGGTTGTCGAGAAGAGACGCTTTTTTCAGCTGCTCTGGCACCGGGTTTGCATAAGAGTTTCCCAACTGACACGCTGGTGGGGTCAAGAAGTGGGTATGGTGAAGCCCCCGCACTTGGCCACGTCCAAGTATAGGTCAAAAGGCAAATAGCTTCGGAGCTTCCGGGGGCGATATTGCAAGGCGCGCCCCGGCACCTGATCTGGTGCCGAAGCACAGCCGGGGACCCAAGACGCCGATTCGGTCGAGCGCGGAAATCCGATTCGGTACCAGAAAACTGATGAAGGTTCAGACAAAGGATTGCTTTCGGCGTGTGAATCATCATAGTAAGTCATGGTTTTGGACAATTGCTTTTTGGAGCTTCTTTTAGGGACCCCCTTAAAAGTGACAAAGTAGACATGGGGATGCCCACTCTAATATAGAACTTTGCTGTGGCTTTCTCAACTAGCCATGCTCTGTCAATGCCCCCTGCTCAAAAGCATGCAACAGCATCCTGAAGAGCTCCAAATAGGTCCCCCAAACATGGTTCTTGTTGGCTTCCCTTGACATCCACAAAGGGGCGCCCTATTTGGCTTCAAGAAGGCTTTTCTTGCAATCAGGCACAAGCCCATACTTTCTTTTTATGTGTCTCTCTCTCCATCTCTCTCTCTCTCTTTCTCTTGCTTAGAATGGTCAACAGAACACTCACAGAGAAACGTGGGGGGGAACCTGCCCCTGGCTTTTGACCTTGTGGGGGCTTGGGTGGTTGGCTCTGGTATGCTGATTGTATTGCATAGGTTGCAGCCCAATTTCAACACGATTAGCGTGACTTTGGGCCTTTTACCCAAACCTCACGGGACCCCCGGCCTTCTGTTGAACCGAACTTCGGAGCTTGACGATTTTGAGGCCTACCCATGGTTGTTGTTGGGAGACATTTTGCATTTTTGCTTATTGTGGTTTGGTGCTTGAAAATCCCACTTAACTGCTAAAACATGAATTGTTGCTCCCCTTCCAACGTCAACCAAGTACCGACTGGGTCCGGAAAAACTGGTCCGGAAAAACTAAACGTCCTTGCGCGAATCGAAGGCGGCCCGCAGTTTGACACCGCCATCTCCTCCCTCGAGGAGCCAAGGCACGGGCCAGGAAATGACAGAGCAGTCCATCCAGGTACCACTAGAGTGAGTGGGGGGTGTCTTTTTGTTGACGGTATTGTGTTTTCGTGGTTTTAAAGGGACAGGACATCCGCACATTTTGGGGTCTAACCTTAAACAGGACACCCAGGTTAGGTTGGGAAACATCCATGGTACCTGGCGGGTACCATAATGTCAGCTGGAAGCACTGGGTTGGTTTTAGGGTGCCAGGGAAGCGCCCCAAGTGAGAACACATGCCGTGAGACTACAAAGGCTCAGTGGTTTCTGTCCTGGTAATTTCTTGAAGAGCTGAGACTTCGGGCATCGAGGAATAGGCAGTGTGGCTGAAACGAGAACTCTGAAGGATCCTAGGTTCCTTGGACATCCTAGGGTCGAAAGGGAACCCTCTGGGCACCCAGTTTCCGTATTGAATCACGCTCCTCTTAACCTTAGGCCCAGACTCCATCAACATCCTTAGGTTGTGGCCAGTGGCCGACAACACGTATCGGACATTCTCCTTTTGGATTCTAAAACATAAATCCTTTCGTGACTCTTGAGCTAATAGAATCACTGGGGCAGTCAAGGTTCCCCGAGAGGACCAAGGCAGTTATCCAAGTGCGACTTTCACGGGTGTGGCTGAAAATTAAAGAGCCAGGGTTACAGATGTTGCTCTTTGTTTCCATAATCTATAGTTTGTGAGGCTCAAGATGTTTTGATCCATTGCCCCAAAGATCCATGAGGATTCTGCCCTGACCCGATGTGGCGAGTCAAAGACCATTCGTTGTGAGCCAGAGGTCGTCATAACCCATAACTCAGGCGTTTGTGGAATTCTTAAAAGTCACCTGTTCTGGCGTCTGGCCACAAAAAGTGGAGGTTAAGGGGAGTTTACTGAGGGGTGATGTCTTGAGGAGAACATAGAGACCAGTCTGTATGGGTGTCGGAGACCCTCACAACCCGCAAAACCGCCCGAAAAGAGGCGAGAAAGCATGTCATTGAAACACGTGTCGTGTCCAAAGTCCTCAACAGCCCAACAGCCCAACAGCCCAACAGCTCCACCACCCCAACAGCCCAACAGCCCAACAGCCCCAGCCACTTCGGTTGTGCTGGGGCAGAGGTTTCGCTTTGCAACAGGCGTGGCGCCTCGAGCGCATCCAGCGGCTTTCTGGAAACCAAAGAGCCTGAAGAGGCGCGGAGTCCACGCGCAGACCGGGCTATGGGAGGGGGGAGGGGGTGGGGGGAGCGGGGGGGGAGGGGGGAGAGGGGGGGAGGGCGTTATGTTTCCATGTTGTTCTGCCTTTGTTGTCAGAGGGGTTTAACCGTCACCATGTTCCGAGTAGGAGTACCTGCGTGACCTGAACATTCGCAAAGCCACGGAACCAGAAGTTCCCACCTGGCCCACTCACCGGTGTGCGATCCCTTTGTGAAGTCTGTCTCTGGGCTGGACTTGGCATACCCAAGCGACTCCATGTACCTGCATTTCAAGTTTTAGTTAAGCAAGGGGGCCTTACTATCGCAACTTGCCTGGGATCCACAGCCTCTCCCGTCGTTCCAGGGTTTGGGCTTTTTTCAGTTCCGGTTGGTGAATTAGTGCATGAGTTGTTTTTCTTTTCTGGAAGAGGGTCACACGCGAAGCATAGGGGACTGATGAGTGACTAATGACGCGCTGTGAGTGTCAATGTGTACTCCACACACATCTTGTGCTCAATATAGACGGCTGGGTTTTCCTCCGATGGGCATGATGAATCTGTGACTCCTCAATTCAGGTCAGGGAACCAAAGATACCCGCGACGACGTCGCAGCTCTCACACTTGCGTAGGAGTTCTACCCTCTACCCTTCCATGGGATTCTGCGACTTTTGGCAGAACAGGGACAAATAGTTGGATCCGGGCATCAAACCAATTAGAGCCCCTTGTTCAGTCAAATCCGTTTTAAGAGGGTCCAATTTCTCTCCGACTAAAACGGGGTTCACCCATGGTCTTTCATCCGCCTCCTTTTGCCAAAAGTGAGGGGGGGTTCTCAAAGGTTGACTCCCTTAATATCGCAAAGCACCAACACCATGGTAACGAACGAGGGTTTTCCTTGTTCCTCATTTGCCATATTTGGTGCACGCGGTTCATGCCCCCCTTTTGCTTCCCCACATTCCATCTGCGCTTCATTCACGGCTACTGCGAGCCCTGCAAAGACGACCAAGGTTCCGGAGGCAAATCGGTGAACCGTTCGTTTTGAGGGTTTTCATTTTTCTGCCCTGCGACGTTTGGGTCAACATCGGCTTGTGTCCACGGAAGTGAGGCGCCGCCTCCGGAAGCGGAAAGCACGACTGCAGCGCTGGGCAGCCTGCAGCCTTGCAAGGCGCCTCTGGGGTTCTTCGCTCCAGGGCTCCCTATCCGCTTGAGGATCGCTTTGATTACACTACACGGCTCGAAAGATGTTTCGGGCCCTACGGGTCCCTTGGAAGGGTTTGAAAGCACACCTGTGGGTTGCCAATTTCAAGTGAGTTTCCTTTGGCAGTGATGCTTTTAGGTTGGAAACATAGGGAACCGTCAGACTGAAGCTTGGCCAGACACAAACTGCCCAAACCAAGACAAACCTTAAAGGTTAAAATTGATTTGTGGTTAGCCTTCTCGTCCATAGCTTCAGCCCCAGTTCTTGGAGGAAGGGGTTTTGGGTGGGTGGGTCCCTGAATCTAAGCCATTTGGCAACTGACAGCGACCTTCAAGGGGAAGTTATTTGCACATTCCGCAGGAGTGGAAAGGGTAGCTTGCACTTTCTGTGTGTTCTTGTTGGCAGCAACATGTCAACTTGCGGCACGGTCTCAGTCTTGGCACCCAGAATGGTCTTTCTTATTCGTTCCCTAAAAGGCCGTTTGACCAGAGGCAATGAATGTTTGTCCGCCAAGCCGCAACATGTGTAACATCGTTGTACGGCGTGAAGGGTGGCGCCCTGTTGCAAATGTCATCTTCCATTTGCTTAAGAATATGTGTTATTTTCCCCTGTTGGTTTTGAAGGGAGTCTATCGCTACTGGAAATAGTTTTTATTGTTTTTTCCCCAGGGGTCTTAACCGAATGGAAGTCACGTTTGGCTCTTTCTTACCTCGCCGGTATGGAGGAGCAAACAGCAAGATCTAGGCAACTTTGAGCTAAGGGAGACGCCGGTTGTCATTGTCTTTTTTTGTGAAACCGTCTAAAGAGGGTTCCTGAATTTGACCTGGGGACACTGTTTACCGTCGATTTCCGGCGTGGGAACAGGTTTCAAGACTTTAGCCCTTTATCTTGCAGGTCTTGCAGGTGCTCAGCAGGGAATGAGGGATTGACCCCTATAAACCATCTTCTGTAGTTCATTCCCTCGTTCCCTACTGAGCACCAGCAAGTTATTCTCTCAACTCATCAAGACACAACACCTTCTAAACATCAGCAACAAGTCCTGAGGCCAACACAGGGTGTTGTTTGTCACCAAGGTGGACTGAAACGCATGGTTGATTGCCCCCCCAAAAAGGGGGAGTAGGGCGACTTCCTGGATTTTGACCACTGCTTCGGTGGCATCCAGTAGCATCCCTTCCACGTTCAAAGACCCCCAAACAATTGCAGTAGAGGGAGGTGACCATGTGTGCTTCGATCACAATCAGATGGTTCATTTGGGCGGGACGAGAAGACTTCACGGAATTTCAACCACAACCAGGAGGGCAAGCCCAGGTTTTGTTTTCCCGCATGTCCTCGAACAAAAATAAGAACAGTTTGTCCGTGGCTCATGTCAATAGTGAGATGCTGTTTGCTGATTCCGGTCAATCTCGAATCACAAGGAAATATGTTGTGTTTGCCAGTTTCCAGCCACCTGCTGAAACCGTATGGTTGTAGGAAGTATTACACAGGGCCACAGGGCGGTTTAGGTCCAATGTTTGATACCAAGCAGGTTCCGCCTCGAGGGTGATAAGGCAGTCATGGGGAACTGCCATTTTGGTATCGCCAATTTAGGGTGATTGTCCACAGCCATGACAGGATGTCTTTTTTGAGGATATTCCTTTTGAGATTGTTCCAAAAGACAAAGGACAAACAGCCATTTTTCGGGGGCTCCCTATTCCCCACCACCATGCTAAGATGGTGGACCCCCTTGGTTATGTATTCAAAAGGAAACCGACAGTAAGCCAACCATTGTGGACGGATTCCTATTTGGGCGTACCTATTTTGCGCCCCCCCACTCACGGCTTCGGTGTTTTTGTTTTGTTGCGGTTTCCCTTTAAAGCCGCAAGGGTACCCACAAAAAGAAAAGGACGGACTGGTCCGATGGCCAGGCGAGCTATCGGGATCCAAGCTCTCGGCCTGGTAGGACGGATGGGTTTCGTCAGGGCTTGTCTTAGGCTCGAGACCCGGGTAGGGCGAAGAACCAACCAGGAAATCTATCCACTCTGTTTGTTTTGGGGGGGGAGGTCCCCTCGTTTGAGACATGGATAGACATGGCACAGGATTCCCGAGATTGCTTTCAGCGAAGGGCTTTTAAAGATTGGCTTTTGAGGGCTTTAGAGTGTTTTGCTGGGCCAGTGTTACGGGGAATCCAAAAAACCACCGCGCATTCGGTGTAAGAGATACCCCTTAGGGGGATCCCCGCTTCCACGGCCCTTCCAAGGCCTTGGGCTTGAATGGGCTTAGCCAGACGCAACTTGTGGGAAGATCAAGGCCCGAAATGGGTAGAGTTGTACCCGAAAACGGGCGAACTTTCAATCTGAGAGCTTCGGTGAGCTCATCTTCAACCTGAGCCTAAGTCCCCTGTGTTTATATCAACATACTTCCAGTAGTAGTGATACATAGGCTCCCCTCGGAGCCAAAAGGGGAAGTTGAAACATGTGTTGCCCTCATTGTCCCGCAGGGTGCCAGGTTTGGGAGTAATCACGAGCATCTGCCCCTATACCTTTGAGCAAGTCAGGCCAAGGGACCCAGGGATTCGGGATTTTCTTGAACCATCCCCGGCGCCAGCGGCCGCCACATCCACCAAGCCATGCACCCGACGCATGTATCGAAACCCAACCACGTGCAACACTCCAAAACCACACCCCAAGGCATGCCCCCAGCATCAAATCCGGTTTCTTCGCGGCGCGGGACGGATGCTGCGCAAAGGGCAACCCAGAGGACAGCTCTTGGATTGTTCGCCCAGCGGGACTTTTGGATGGCAAGATCGACCAGACCTTGGGGTTCCAACCCGGCGCAAGATGCCCGCCTTGGCACAACTTGGCTTTGCCGAGCTCCCTTTTGCTTGCGGGCTCGGGAAACCCCAGGCCTGGGCGATTCTCTTCAAGTGGGAGATGTCATCGGCGCTGTATCCTGAAACTTTCTGGCCCAAAGATTTGCGCGGACGGGCAGAGCAGATTTTCCTTTCTGTGTGAATCCAGAATTCTGCCCACCCATTAGCACCAATTTAATGGTGAAGGGAACGCTTGCCTACTGTTCGTTCCTATACTTGTTTTCCTCCCCCAAGCGTCACGCCTGAACTCCGAATCGATGTGTTTTAAAACACACAAAGAAATCGACGCCAGGCCGTGCCTGCCGCAGGTTAGCGAATGGCCCTACAAGAGCCATGGCGTGAAAGCTGCCAGCTCCCCACTTTCCCCATGGCTTTCAATAAACCCAGTGGTTTTTGGCAATGAGCGGGAATAGCTCCACTTTTGTATGGTTTTCTCACCGGGTTTGGCAATGACCTGAGAGAAAGTCGGGAAGAGTCTCTCTGGTGGTTCGTCTTTTTGCTTGTTGCCTTCCGAAGCTGCATTCCCCACTCAGTTCGCTCTGGAAACTCCCCAGGGAAGCACCGGGCTCACCCAAGCAAGGGTAAGACGAGCTCACACATGGTCCCGTCTCTTCGGTACGTGTCCGAAATTGGGGGACCCACAATATGGTGGGTTTCCTTTTGGTTGCTTCAATTCAATAGCCTGGAAAAGGGATGAAAGGGGTCATTACTTTTACGAGGACGAAAGTGTCGCCCTCTGCGAAAAGTGTAACAAATCAAGCCAGCAGGTCAACCTGCTACTCGAAGATTCGACAACAAAGTGGGGTTTTCGGTCGAAGAACGTGGTTTTGCTTTCTGGAAGCCGTACACAAACCGTACAAATCCCGTATAACAGCATTAACCCGAATTGTCCCTAAGCTTTTGAAAACCAGGTGTCTCCTCTTAAACCAGGTGACTTTTTGGAGCCCTCTTTTTTTGCAGGCTTTTGGGGTAGCAGGAGCTTGGTCACATGTAGGGACGGTTAACCGTTGTTTGTGTGGTGTTTTTTTGCGGAGCAGGGTCAATGTTCACCCGGTTTTTAGAATGTCATATGACTTGCAGAGATGAAGATTGACTCTCCCCGAAGTGGTCTTTCACTTGCAGGATTCGAAGGGGGGACCGGTTGGGAACATTTGGGTTTGGCTCAAAATTAAAGAGCTTTGGGGTTGCGCAAGTTTTAGTCTTTGGCTCCATTTACCAGGTGTCCATTTTGGATACATATTCTTGACCCACAGCCATTTGGTGCGTCAACTCAAGAGGGCAACCTTTTCTCCTGGATTTGCAGGCGTCAAAAGCACCCAGGTTGCTGGGTTCGAGAATTTGCTTCTAGCTCAGGGGATCCCAATTCTTTAGTTGGCCCATGTTCGATTTGAGGTTTGAGCAGGGTCCGTTAATGGCTACGGTTGGGCAGTTAAAAGCCGGCTTTGGCCGCTGATGAGGATGTCCAGATAAATCAGGTCGGTTGGTGGCTGTATCCCACCGGAACCGAGTCCCTTCGCTCTCCCAATCGGTTCGAGTGCGCTGAGGAGCAACACGGCCTCCCGAACCCAGCTGGGAGAGCGAGCCTGGATGGCGGCCACTGGCAAGGTGGCTGAAGTCGAGTGTGCCCCAGCTGCAGCAAAATTGGCAGTCCCTCAACTTGTTTTATTGGACCTCAGCTGGCAGCATGCGGGAGCCCACCAGTCATTTCGTCATTTCCAACTTTTTTTGTGGGGGAAATCCGAGCAAGGCGTTGAAGGATTCTTCTTGGTGAAGCCCCGCAGGCGTCCGCAGGTAACCCGGTGTTCTCTTAGGTGTGTTGTTTTTGGAGGGCCCCGAGTTTTTTTGTCCTGGATGGTCGTGTCATGGCCGGATGGTCGTGTCATGGCAGGGTCGTCGCTTGGTCGGTTGGTCGGTCGGGCGGCCGTCTGGGTGCTTTAAAAGGAGTTTATTGAGGGTCTGTCCGAACGAAGCCTCACAATGGCTGAAACGCAGGGCACGAACACTCACGAAAGCCTGCGGCGAAAGTGCATGTTTGCAGTTTGTTGTCGGAGAAGTCGGCTCCTATCTAGAGCTGGTGGTTGGCCCTCCAAGTTGGCAGTACTGATGTTGGAAGTGCCCTATGTCTTCCTGGGAAGGCGTCCTTCCTGAAGGGTATCTCCTTTACACGCAAGGTGAGTTCCCAGGAAGGCGTTCTTCCTGAGTCCTGAGGAACGTGCCCCTTTTGCCCAAGTCTGTGTTTTGCCCTGGTTGGGAAGCTCTACCCGCCACAGCCCACACATGCTGCTTGCAAAGCACTGTGTGGGTTGCGTTGGTTTTCAACCAGGTGGCCATCATGGCCAACTGGCTCATTTTTGAGGCCAGTGATGGGGAGTTCCCCATCCTGGTAACCTCCGAGGGAGGGCTCCGGTCATTGTGGACCGCGTCAAGTCCCGTTTGCGCTCAGGCTGCCGAATAACGCGAAAGCTCTCTGCGGAAGCAACAATTGCTCCATGAAAGGATTCCCCACAACGAGCTGCAGGTCTACACAACGTGCTGCAGGCGTACTTCAAGTGGAGACTTTCGAGCCGGAACTGCCAAAGTACGTTTCACGCAGTACACCTAGCCTGTACTTTAAAGTTGCGATTCTCCAGGAAGTTGTGGCAGCCAGAACCAGAACCTGCCGAAGCTTCGCGAAGCAAATCCTAACACACCTTCCCGCGAAAGTGAACCGTATGGCCGATGCCCATTGGCGCAAAGCCGTTCCAACCTTCGGAAAGGAGTGGGTCCCATGCTGGAAGTGTACCAATCGAGGTTACTGATTGACACCGAGTTCTAATGGTTCGATGCTTGCCCGGCGCCTGGGCTGCAAATGCGGGAATGTGCGAGCCATTGACCTGGTTGGATGAGGCAGCCAAATCGTTTGGCGCTCGGCGCTCTCAAGTCAGACGAAAGAGGGATTGTCATCACAGGATAGCAAGTTCGCAAGGCAGCCCAAATCCCGAAGAGGTTTCCTTTAGCAGACCTCAAGGTGACCTTCTTCATCCTGCAGCTCGCTCGGAAAAAGCGTGCTGCACTTGCAGGACCTTCAGTGAAGGTGTTGGGCACTGGGTTGACCCGCACATAGAAGTGTCTCGAGTCGACAGCTGAAGCTTGCCTTGCAGCACCAGCACCGCAATTGTCCAGCCTTTGCTGGCACGCGTTGGGGTTCAACTGCGTGACTCAGTCTTGGTCTAGCGTTAAAAATGGTGGATGGCCTGGCGCCAAGGTAGGTTGAAACAGGCGGTTTGCAATGGGATATGTGTGCCTAGAAACACTTTGTTGCAAGTTACAGGTTCGACTGCTACCGTGGACGGTTGGCAGGCACAATCTTTAACTTTGGTAGTTTGCCGCGCAGCAGCGGCAGCAGCGGCGCAACTTCCAATCCCGCACGCTCTCGAGGTTGGCCAGCATTGGGATTAAATTCTATGATGCAGTCTTGCTCCAGCATTTCCTTTAGCTGGCTTCCCATCAAAGTATCTTGCAAGAAGTTGCTTAACATGGGATATGCTCGGGCTTGCGGGACGAGTGTTTGGCGTCGCAAGGCGCGGCAATATTGCCTTCACTTGAGAACAGCACAGAGCCGTTCGGACCCACCAGCTTGCCTGTGCCCAGAGCGTCGTAGCCAGCTTCAGGTTTTGAGTGCTTCTGTGGTCGACAGATGCCGAATTGTCAACTGCGCCTGCACCGGTTGGGCTGGACACCTTCCACCGCAGCACCGACAGCGCCGCAACTGCCAAATCCTTGCTGGCACGCGCGGGAGCTGCCCCATGCAGTTTTGGTCTAGCATTAGCTTCAATTGCTGGCTTCACATTAATTGCATAAGGTTGCTCGGAACTGCTTTTGGTTAGACTTGCAGGAGAAGTGCGCTGGGAGCCTGAGCGGGGTGTTGCCTTGGCTTGAGCAGATCAAGTAGTCGTTAGGACCTGCGCTCACGCCTTTTGGGTTGAGCACCTGCGCCAGCGGCGCGGCAACTTCCCAGCCCTTCCCCTTTCAAGGTGCAGTCTAGCATTCGTTTCAGTGGCTGGCTTCGCATCAAGGTATTCGTAGCTTGTGGAAGGATGCTGGTTCTGTGACAACACGTTCAAGCTGGCAGGAGTGTCAGAAGGTATTATGATGAGCCGCGCATTGTTGATTTGACTTTAATAAAGCAGAGAGCCATTCGGACCAATCAGCTTGTCTGTGCGCCAAACTTTGTGGCAAGCTTTAGCTTTCACCTGCCGCAAGGGTCGGCAGATGCAGTACTGCTGGCTGCGCTCGCAACTGTTGGGTTGGACATCTTGCCTTGCAGCACCGGCAGCGCAGTGCCGAGCCCTTGCTTGCACACGTTGGTCTTCAATTGCTTGATGAAGTCTTGGTCTAGCACTAGAGTCAATGGCTGGCGTCGCACAAGGCTTGCAAAAGGTTGCTTGGAACGGGATATGTTCGGTGCAGAAGAAGCTTGCGGGGAACCTGAGCACTGGGCAGCCTAACTATGAGTGAGTGGCTTCGCTTACTCGTCACCTGAGCTCGAGCTTCAGGGAACGGGCTGTTTTTTTTTGGTTTGCCTTGAGCCCCAAGCAACAAGGGTGTCCATTCCGGCTTGGATGCTTTCTGCTTGACCCGCGCAACCAGGGTTGTGGGATCAGGGGTTTATCTCACTTCTGTGATGCAAGGGAATCTCCCTCTTTTTTTGGGGGGGTTAGTCTTTGGGAAGCCCTTTCTGTTGTATCACAGAAGTGGGCAGTTCCCACAGCCTGCGCGCAACCGTTTCACGTTTCATCTTTGGTTTTACCATTGGTTTTACCTTCGGCCGCTTGCCCATTCAATTCCCAAAACAGTGTGTCTACACTAAGGGTTCTTACGGTAAGATCCAGGCGCTCGCTCTGGTCTGGACAATTGTCATTGTATTTACGTGCAATCGTGACTGTGTAAATATTGAAATGCATTTCGATTGCGCAGGCTCGAACAAAGTGGTGGGACGAGATTTGCAACTGGCCCTTCCGCCTCGCAGGCTCCTGCAAAAGTTTCCTTGTCTGATGTACCTGCTCACTTCGACTGTGCAGGCTCGCACGTGGCTCGAATTTGTTTTTTTCAGTGTATGCTCTCGCTGCGGCGCCGTGCGAATTCCGAAAACGGCTGATTGGTGAACGGTCTACGGGTGCATTAGATCACTCTCGCTTTAGGTGGGCCTGTGCGGACGTCGGGCGGGTGATTGTTTGTCGCTCGGCGCGGCGCGCGTTCTAAACATCGAAGGTGGGCCCTTTGCGTACCTTGGGTGGGTTGGATCGCTCTCACAGTGGCGTGGTTCGAGTCTTGGACATCAAAAGCGAACCCTCTGCAGATCTTGGCTGCGTCGGGTCGCTCTGGCTGTGGCGCAGTGCGAAGTTTGAACATCGAAAGTGCCGGGCGCGAATTCTGTGAACCCCCGGTGGACTTCGCTGTGGCGCCAGGCAAAATCAGAAACATCGAAGCGCAGGACCTGCAAAGAAGTTTTTCCATTCCTGGACAGAGAACGTCACGAACAAGAGAGGATCTTGCCAAAGGATCTTATCCAGGGATCCTGTCCAGACATCCTGGGCGAAGATCTCGCCGAGAGATGTTGCAACGAGATGCTGTAAACTCCTCCCAAGCACATCTTGCGCTGTCCCTTTAAATATAGGATCCTTAAAAGAGCTCTTTTGCAGGACCTGGAGACTTTTTCCGTCAAGTGGTCTTCCAGAGGATGCCCGAGACATCTTGCGCAGAAATCATGCAAAGTAGTGCATATTTTGCGCCTGTCCTTCGTAGAGAGGATTTTTTTGCAGTGGCCCCCCCTTCACGCAGAGATCCCCTCAAGAGGTATTGCAGAGGTTGCTCCCCACTCGTAGCGGGTCTTCTGAGAGATCCTGCACACATCTTGTGCAGAGATCCTGCAAAGATCCTTCGTCTCCTGCGGTGGTCCTGCGTAGAGATCCGCTCAACAGATCTTGCTCAGGTTTCATGTCGAGACATCTTGCTCTTTACAGCTCCTGAAGGGGGAGCTTGTAGAGGTTTCTCTCGGAGATCCTGCGCACACATTTTGGTAAAAGACCCTGTCAAGAGATCTGCTGAAAGAGCTTCAGAAGGCTTCGGTGTGAAGAGCGTGCGCAAGGCTTTACAGAGATTCTGCGCGCATCTTCTGCGGCTACTTCATGTTGCCTGCGTGGCTTTCTGTCTCACTTGTTGACCACTGTTTGTTTTCGGCCTCGTTCCATTTAGTCCTGGTTTTAGGAGCAAACTACTAGTAATTTGTTCGCCCCTTGATTCCTGCATCCTGCATATTGCAAGCTTGATGTGGTGCCCCACGGTGCCAACATGAGTACACGCAACTTCTTGCAGGGTGTTCCACAGGCTCGGTTACGAAAGCTGTTTTGTCAGAATGATTCCCCATTTCAGTCACGTCCACAGCATGAAATTGCAGTACATGTCAGGTGTGAATCGACCGCAGCAAAAACTGCCCCCTGCCGCTCGGCAGTGCTGTAAGCCCCACCTGACTGGTGGGCAGCCCGGTTAAGGAGAACCACGACGGCCCGACCAGGCTTGCGCGTGCCAGACTCATGTTCATGATGCCTGGAAGTGCGATCCCGTTCGGGGCACGGTGAAGTA